AAAGCGTAATTTGGCCACCTCCGGAAGAAAAGTGGAATTGTTATCCCAGTTGCGAGAGGCTATGGAAGCTGAAGGCAGCGACGTGGACAAATAAGACTTCCAAGGTAAACCCGACGATACATCCGCAAAGGACGAACAGAAGGATGAGGCTGCATGTTCGTCGAAGGATGTGCAACAGACATCCGGGAAGGTTGAAGAACAGCAAAAGGCTCCTTCGTCATCAACAGTTATGGACATGAACACGTTGTTGGCTGCCATGTCACAGATGATGCAAGCACAGGATACACGCATGTCAGAGATGTCATCACAGCTGTCGTCACAGATGCAAACACAGTTGTCAGATATTTCGTCGCAGCTACAGGCACAGAAGACACACGTATCACAGTTGCTGGAAGTCCAGGATGCAAAGATTACACAACTGCAGGAGAATTTGGCTAGAGATAACGAACAAATCAAGGATAGACAGGATAAAGTCGAGGCTAAGGTAGAAGAGTTGGAAGGTCGCCTCCGAGATATGCAGTTGAATCGTCCAGCTACTTCGACGAGCGCACCCAAAGTAAAAACCCCATCCTTTGACGGCACGATTCCTTTCCAGGTCTTTAAGCTCCAGTTCGAAAAAACGGCTGCAGCAAATCATTGGAGCATGGAGGATAAATCCGCTGCACTATTCGTTGCATTGAAAGGACCTGCGGCAGAAATCTTGCAGACTATTCCCGACTGTGAAAGGAACAGTTACGATGCGTTAATGGGTGCAGTGGAAAGACGTTATGGTAGCGAGCACCGGAGACAGATTTACCAGATGGAACTGGAGAATCGCTGCCAGAAATCCAATGAGACTTTACAGGAATTTACCTCTGAGGTTGAAAGGTTGGCTCATTTGGCAATTGGAGATGCATCTGGTGAGCACCTCGAAAGAGTAAAAATCCAGAGGTTCATCAACGGAATGCGGGACGTGTATACCAAGCGCGAGACGTATGCAAATCCAAAACCAACATTTGCTGAAACGGTCTCGTATGCTCAGACACGTGAAACGGCAGCGCTCCTAAGTAGACCAGCCTACAAAGCCCATCGAGTAGAAGAGGAAACACCTGACGTGATGAACGAGATCCTGAAAACACTCAAGTCGATGGCAGGGAAGAATACTCCTGGTGCAACCGAGAGGAAGGATGGTGCTAGAAAATGTTTTAGTTGCGGAAAACCAGGCCACTTCGCACGCGAATGTAAGACGGGTTCCAACAGGTCAAACAGTTCGGCAGTACGTAAACGCAGGACTGAGGATGACGAGCCCAACTCCGACCAGTCGTTAAACTAAAACGAGCCAGCAGCAAGGGGCGCACGCTGGCTCCCGCAATTGAATGCCCCATAATCTCCGTCTCGCGAATTGGCAGAAAGGCGAGCAACGTTACTGTTTGTGGATATGTGGACGGACATGAGCGAGTACTAACTGTTGATACGGGCGCATCACATTCCATCATTCGATCTGATTTAGTCACTAAAGGTGTAAGGCCATTACCTGGAGCAAGGTTGAGGACAGCAACTGGTGAGGACACCCAAGTTGTAGGAGAGGTAACATGCAAAGTCGCAATAGGGAATGCGACGGTGTTACACAAGTTCATAGTCGCGGCGATTATGGATGAAGTCATCATTGGATTAGACTTTTTATTTGGTCAAGGTATGAAGATCGACATGAAGAACAGGATCATGACGTACGACAACATGGAAGTGCCCCTTAGGTTTGGGTATGATGGTCCGTACAGCAGCAAGCGAGTGATCCTAGAGGAAAGCGAGCAGATTCCACCGAAGTCAGAAGCAGTTGTGTGGGCAAAGATTGATGGAGATTGTGGGACAAACAAATTGTGGGTTGTTGAAGCGACTCAAAATTCTACACCGGACGTACTTATTGGTAAAACCCTGGCTAAGACGCAAAAGGATGGACGCATCCCAGTTCGAGTGCTCAATGAGTTCAAATCACCAGTCAAACTCCGAAGAGGAGCTGTACTGGGGCAATGTCGAGAGGTAGAGGCAATCTTCTACTGCGAAAAGTTACCTGAAAGCGATTCCATTGGCGAGAATGACATTGCGGAAGACATTAATGCATGGACGGAAGGGTTGGAAGAAAAATACCAGCACAAGGCTAAGGAACTTCTCCGAAGATACTGCAACATATTCGACAAGGATGGCGACAAACCAGGCAGGACTAACGTTGTGAAACATCGCATTGATACTGGCGATGCAAGGCCAATCCGTCAAGCTCCTCGGAGTGTTCCACTTGCCAAACGTGAAACTGTTAGCCAAATAATAAACGAAATGAGCGAGAGTGGTGTGATTGAACCATCAGCGAGTCCATGGAGTTCGCCGGTAGTACTTGTGAAGAAGAAGGATGGTCAAATGCGGTTCTGCATAGACTACCGGAAACTAAACGATGTGACGAAAAAGGACAGCTATCCTCTTCCCAGGATCGATGACACTCTGGACTCGTTGACTGGAACAAAGTGGTTCTCAACACTCGACCTTAAGAGCGGTTATTGGCAAGTGGAGGTAAGTGACGAGGATAAGGAGAAGACAGCTTTCAGCGTTGGAGACGGTCTGTGGCAATTCACGGTGATGCCCTTTGGATTATGCAACGCTCCTGCCACTTTTGAACGACTTATGGACCATGTGCTCAAAGGACTGCATTGGAAAACATGTTTGGTGTATCTAGACGACATTATCGTATTGGGTAAAAGCTTTGAGAAACACCTGAACAATTTGGAAGAAGTTTTCCAGAGGATAGCTGGCGCTGGTCTGAAGCTAAGTCCTAAAAAGTGCTCACTGTTCAGGAAGGAGGTGAACTACTTAGGGCACAAGGTGACAACGGAGGGCATCTGTACTGCGAAGGAAAAGATAGAAGCAGTAAAGGATTGGCCAAGACCTAGGAACCTGCATGAACTACGAAGTTTTCTTGGGCTATGCACCTACTACCGCCGATTTGTTCCGAATTTCGCCAGCGTTGCTAATAGCCTCCACGAGCTCACTAGGAAAAATAGAGCCTTCGAGTGGAACAAGGAGCAGGAGGAGGCTTTCCAGACTCTGAAGGAACGACTATGTACTGCACCTATGCTAGCGTATCCCGTTCCAGGGGCAACGTTTATTTTGGATACGGATGCTAGTGGTTATGCCATAGGAGGCGTACTGTCGCAGGTAATTGATGGGCAGGAGAAGGTAGTTGCCTACTATAGCCGGTCGATTGGAAAACCAGAGAGGAACTACTGCGTAACTCGGAGAGAACTACTAGCGTTGGTGGACTGCGTCAAACATTTCCACAAGTACCTCTATGGGCAACGTTTCCGAGTTCGAACGGACCATGCAGCGCTGAAGTGGCTACTACAATTTAAGAATCCAGAAGGACAGCTAGCTCGGTGGATTGAGAGACTGCAAAGTTATGACTTCGCTATTGAGCACCGCAAGGGAAGTGTCCACGGTAATGCTGATGCCATGTCCCGCCGACCATGTAGCCTGGAATGTAAGCACTGCTCAAAAGCTGAGGGAAAAGAGGACATTATAGACGTCCGTCTAACGACAATAACACCAGCGGAAGAATGGAAGGAAGAACAGCTACGAAAGTGTCAGCAGGAAGATCCAGATCTGGAGCTTTTGATGCATGGACTGGAGGTGGACAGGAGGCCAACTAAGGAGCAAATGGCAGCGGAAAGCCCCATCGCAAAGGCGTACTGGGCACAATGGAACAGCTTAAAATTAATATCTGGCTGTTTGCATAGGGTATGGGAAAGCGAAGATGGCCAGTGCTCCCGCAACCTGATAGTAGTTCCAAGGGTAAGAATTCCGGATGTACTCAAGGAATTCCACAATGGTCCTAGTGGAGGGCACCTGGGAATCACGAAGACCCTGGAGAAGGTTAAGCAGAGGTTCTATTGGGTTGGTTGTCGGCAATCGGTCGCAGAGTGGATTGCTAACTGCGCGGAGTGTATTGCAGCTAAGGGGCCGAAATCCAGAAGTCATGGCCAGATAAAGCAATATAACTCAGGTGCACCTTTCGAGCGGATTGCCATGGATGTAGCCGGTCCATTTCCTATGAGCGCACAGGGAAACAAATACGTCCTTGTGGTTATGGACTACTTTAGCAAATGGCCGGAGGTATACCCGATTCCAAACCAGGAAGCTAAAACAGTAGCGGAGGTATTCACCTACAATTGGGTTGCGAGATACGGTGTACCTATAGAGCTGCACTCTGACCAGGGAAGAAATTTTGAGTCGGCGGTGTTCCAAGAGATGTGCCAGATACTGGGTATCCGGAAAACTCGAACGACGGCTCTTCATCCCCAATCTGACGGCATGGTGGAACGGTTCAACCGAACCCTGGAAGAACATTTGCGGAAGGTCGTGGACAAGAATCAAAAAGATTGGGATGTCCGCATACCCTTGTTCCTGATGGGATACCGGTCCGCAGTGCATGAAACAACGGGTAAAACTCCTGCAAGGGTAATGTTCGGCAGTGAGCTCCGTTTGCCTAGTGATCTGAAGTTTGGGGTGACTGGTGATGCTAGAAGGATTGGAAAAGAGACGTCAAACATCCTGGAAGAGGAGCTGAGAGAGATACATGCTCTTGTGAGACAGCGCACACAAATTATGAGTGACAAGATGAAAGCCAGGTATGATAAGGCGATGAATTCCGAGGGTTTCCAGGAAGGAGATTTAGTGTTGCTGTATAATCCACAACGAAAGAAAGGTTTGTCCCCAAAACTACAATGCAACTGGGAAGGTCCG